CGATTTATCGCAGGCCAACAAAAATCTCGATGCTTCTTTCCTCAAAGATTTGCGCAAGAATCGGTACCGCAGTGCATCGCGATCATTAATCAAAAGTCTCGAGGACGAGGCGACAGGTGAACTACAAATTTGATCAAAATCGGTATCCAACAAATTTTCGCAGCGCTCGACAGGTGGAAAACCATACGCCTCGCAAGCTGAATCAAACTCTAGAAAGAATACCTCGATATCTTCGCCAGGCGCGCCAGAAAACACAGGGAAACTACCAGCAGGTATGCGACACGGATCAACAGTCATTTTCGTTTATAAAGTTTGGAACGGTACAGAAGTTTGGAATGATAGAAAAAAGAAAGATGGCGCCCAACAAAAGTTCGGTACGACACAAAGATTTGTAAGCTAGAATTTCGAGCAAGGTACTACAAGAACTAAGTCGAGTTGAACCGAAACGAGACACAAGTAAAATGCAAGAAGGGCGCCTACCGAAAGTTTGGAACGATACAAATATTGAAAGCTAACACGACGAGCAAGGTGCTACGAGAACGAAGTCGAGTCGAAACGAAACGAGACACAAGTAAAACGCAATACAGTCGGTAGAGCAGGGGTACTTACGGTTCTCAGGGTCGTGAGGTCGAGCGAAAGATCGGGCGCCAATGTTAGGACTGGTACAGTCACGCTTAGACGATCGGGCCAAGTATTAGCTCAGTCGGTAGAGCATGAGACTCTTAATCTCAGGGTCGTGGGTTCGAGCCCCACGTTGGGCGCCAATGTTAGGACTGGTACAGTCACGCTTAGACGATCGGGCCAAGTATTAGTTGACAACGACAAGGAATCTCAGAGGTTCGTATAGAATAATGTCAGGCAAGCAAAACAAAAGTCCAGGCAAGGCAAGCAAGACAAGAAGAGGTAGAAGGGGGAGAGCAAATGCTCCAGCAAGAGCTTATCTAGGGCCTGGGTAGCTATGGAGATAAATGTGCTAAAGCGCGAGTCCAGCTACCCAGGCCAAAGAAAGAAAAGATTAGGAAAAGCAACCAGGGTGAGTACGAGGCTGTGAAGGTGAGTACGTCGAGTGAATGTGAGTGCGCGCCCTAAAAGGTGAGTTCGCGCCTGTAAAGGTGAGTACGAGAGTAAAGGTAAGTCCGCGCCTGAAAAGGTGAGTACGAGAGTGGAAGTGAGTGCGCGCCCGAAAAGGTGAGTACGAGAGTGAAAGTGAGTGCGCGCCCGGAACGGTGAGTTCGCGCCTGTAAAGGTGAGTACGAGAGTGAAAGTGAGTGCGCGCCTGTAAAGGTGAGTACGAGAGTGAAAGTGAGTGCGCGCCCGAAAAGGTGAGTACGAGAGTGAAAGTGAGTGCGCGCCTGTAAAGGTGAGTTCGAGGGTGCGAGTGCGTACGAGTGTGCGAGTGCGTGCATATGTGAAATCGTGAACCTAACAGTATGCATGGAATATGCTGTAAATCGGTAACCAGCGATTTTCTTCCAGATGGCAAGGGAGCCGGATAAAAGAGGATCAGATTAGCGAGATCTGACTGTACACCACTCAACTGTCAGGAGATCATGAACATCACTTGGTGTAAAATGTACTTGCCTATGCACATTAGTGAATCAGGGACGTAGCCGGTTCCCCTCTTAGGGGTTGCATGGCTGCATATGTATAAGATGGCAGGTGCATGTTATCCATGGTCACGATGCATTATGTGCATGCTGAACCTAGGTCGAAATTTTTAGGGGAGTGCACGTAAATCACGTTTGACTGTGAAAGCACTGCACAGAATGTCGTGGTTGCATACGAGTTACTTACGCAACTGTCACAACCGGCCCACCGCAGAATTTGAGCTTGGCTCAACTTTCGTGATGCGAGATGTGAAGTACATTGAGATCTGATTAGATGACTGTGGCCCGTGTCCTTACTGCTTTTTTTAACACATATCTGCACTGTAGTTCACATACATACTGTAAAAATGAACAAGCAGTGCTACTGGCTGCAAGGATAGCACCAGCAGTGCTACTGACTGCAAGGATAGCACCAGCAGTGCTACTGGCTGCAAGGATAGCACCAGCAGTGCTACTGGCTGCAAGGATAGCACCAGCAGTGCTACTGGCTGCAAGGATAGCACCAGCAGTGCTACTGGCTGCAAGGATAGCACCAGCAGTGATACTGGCTGCAAGGATAGCACCAGCAGTGCTACTGGCTGCAAGGATAGCACCAGCAGTGCTACTGGCTGCAAGGATAGCACCAGCAGTGCTACTGACTGCAAGGATAGCACCAGCAGTGCTACTGACTGCAAGGATAGCACCAGCAGTGCTACTGTCTGCAAGGATAGCACCAGCAGTGCTACTGGCTGCAAGGATAGCACCAGCAGTGCTACTGGCTGCAAGGATAGCACCCCTGACACCATCGTGACTGCTGTACTTCTCAATGGATTTCAACATCCCCAAGAGCACAATTTGGACCTTCTTTGCAGCCAAGTTGGACAGAGTGTCAACGCATTACCACGCATCACAAGCTTCTTACTCTAGTTTCACAGTATTAAATGCAGCTTTGGTAACCATAGGATCAGAATATACGTCTGATAATAAGGTGCACATTGCATCATGAAATGATGTTAGCTTCAAATTTTATGGAAAGATCACCAATAGATGAGCTGCACACTCTTAGGCCATAGTCACACTATGGGAAGTTTGACACTGGATGCAGCGTCAAACCCAAGCACTTGACACTGGATGCAGTGTCAAACCCAAGCACTTGACACTGGATGCAGCGTCAAACCCAAGCACTTGACACTGGAGGCAGCGTCAAACCCAAGCACTTCACACTGGATGGAGCGTCAAACCCAAGCACTTGACACTGCCGTAGAGTCACACAGCAATTTTGCTTCTGCCGAAGCACTTCACAAATCCCTACGAAAGGGTACGGTACACTACCCTACTTAAAAAAACGCTGTTTTTTTCTTCATGCAAGTGCTTGCAGCTGCAGTGTCCATCCATTTGATTTGTCGCGCGAGACCCTGCTCCATGTGACACTCAAATTTCCCCATTTTCATCAGTTGACAAGGAAAAACTCATGCTCCAGACGCTGGAGCAGCATTTTTCACTTAGTGTGACCGAGGCCTTAGGTGGAGGGGTGGGGTATGTACTGTTGATAGTTGCCCAGAGATTGAGCTAACAAGAAAACATTTGTCTACTTCCTCTGTTAAGCAAACCTTCGTTGCTTTCTTTCGTGTTCGTGTCATAATCTTCATGTTGGCATTAGACAAACATGTCGTGATCTATCCCCGCGGCATAGGGTAGCCACGGTGGCATCCATTGCTCTGGCAGGCATTTGAACCTCCGAAGAGCATGGAGTCCTTTTCGAAAAATCAACGAAGCGAGCCATTTCCTGAGAGGATGTCACCAGAACACAAACCCAGGCGGATGACACAAAAGTGCGAAAAAGAGAAACAGTTCGAAAGACCGTGTGGCTTGCAGAAGTGACCAGAATCCGCGGAGCCACTGCTGTGCCAGCACAATTGTGCGAGTCCGCACACAGCCAAAACCAATGCACGTGTGTTTGCAGCGCAGCAGAAAGCAGAAGGATTCGACATTCAGGTTCTCGTTCAGCCGGCGCAAAGTCCCGATCTCAACATCAACGACTTGGCGTTCTTGCACTGCCTGCAAACATATGTGTCACTCGTGGCAAAGGAAACCCGGAAGGAGCTTCTGCAGGCTGTGGAAGGGTACTGGCACGAATACCCCGCTGGCTAGATGAGGAGCCTTTGGTTGTGTCTGCATGGCTCCTTCCATAGCATTCTGGAGAATGGTTGAGACAACAACTACCAGCATCACAGTGGGGATCGTCAAGCTCACAGTTCAAGCGAAAAAAACTCTTGGCGATTTCCACGATCAATTAGTGTCTCAGAAACTTGTAAAGGCTGCAGAGCAAAAGCTGGCAGTGCTGGATGCGAAAGTCAGCGATGATGCAGACTCATCAGGGAGTGAGTCGTCATCACGTCCAGTTGAAGAGACAAGCCGGGCTGCTTCGAAACGAGCTGTGTGACACCTGTAACTAACGTTATCTCTCAAATGCTGCTTTTTTCCACTCTGCAAGGCGGGTTTGTGGCCATAGAATGCTTTGGACTGAACTGCAAAATGCAACAAAGTTTTGCTTAGGTTGCGCTCACACGAACCGCAAAATAACGGATACAGGCAAGTGACCATGGTGATTAGGTCGCGTGCCACGAAAATCATAATCGCACCGAGAAAAACATAAACTTTTGCTCAGAAACTCCAGAGGGGGGGGGGGGCAACGATAAAAGTACAATCGCTGAGCGTTTATGCATAATGTCTGATGAATACCATACTGTTTTACGGCTTTTTCTGCTCGAGTGCCAGTCAGTTTGTTGATGCCCAGTACTCAGATCGCAGAGGAGTGGAGAACTCCGTGGATACTTAGCATCCGCCGAAGCATATGTCTCCTAAAAGCCTTGGACAGCCTACCGAGCATCTTGGTACAGCAGCAAATGTTGCCATTGTTGCGTGAGCGAGATGAAATCACTGTGCAGCCAGAGCTGCATGCCCTGACTTCTCCTTCGCGAGAAGAACAAAACTAGCCGAGTCGATCCCTCCTTCATCTCGTCAGATATATGCACTAAGAACGCAACCTCAAGACTTTGAAGTCTCAACAAACAAAAAAACACCAGTGCAGCACTATGGTCATTCATCCTGCATGAGTCGTCTTCTCCAACAACGAAGAAGAAACTCGGTGGCAATCCACATGATGAATATTTCATTTCTCCGCGCGCCCGGCGAATTTCACCACAGAGTAGCGAAATAGGTTGTTTTACTCTCTCTCTCTGATACTTGTAAGAATAATGTCTTGTGTGAGCGCGATAGTACTTTTCTCGCTCACCGTGAAGCCTTTCTCGAAAGGGTTTGTCGTCGTGTAAGCGCAACCTAAGCGGAGGAAGTACATCGACCTACTTCATTTTCAAATATTTATCAAAAAATTAATAATGTTCTCATGCTCACCTGCCATCCAGGTCGTTCGCAGGGACATGTGCCTCTCAGTGTTCGCATTCCGCCAGCACAATGGTGACTAGACCCATGACATCGTCGCGGTCGTTTTTTTGTCGAGCCGTTGGCCGGAACCTCAAAGGTGCTTAGGGAGTCATGACTGTGTCCTGCCCAATGGCGAAATGTCGTGACGCATTTCCAGTCGATGCCGACGAAGGACTCACCGGGTTGAATTCCGCTAGGAACGCCGCTGTCTTCGTCCAATGTATCGAATGCCACACCAGAGCGAGATAATGGCTTCCAAAGCAAGGAACCCCTGTCTCCTTGCATGGACGGCAGGCGAAAAACGACTATGGTTACTTGTTGCGTCAACTACCTTTCGGCCTGCTTTTATCTTCGGCAATACAACATTTCTACACAATACTAGTAGTACGACTTTTCCTTTGGTATCGACAGAAAATCTAGGAGCAACTCAGTTGCGTCCCGTGTAGGTATAGTCGGGTCCTCTATCTCGAGCACATCCAGAGTAGCCGTGCAAGTAACTCATTCACCAAAGTATTTACCAGGGCAGGTGAGCTGTCCTTGTTCAAACTGTGAAAAGGCTCAAGGGAGCACAAGGCCGATAGCCAACCAGAACATGGATTCAGGCAGGAGAAAAATTCATGACTATTTTATGCACCTTCGATTCGCATCATCGCAGCATAATAACGACTGACTTCAGACTACCGCCGGCGGTATCTACACATGTGTGTGTACTTCATCGTCTTCATTCAAGGAGGCAAGAAATTACGACCCGCGACTCAAACAAGTAGCCCCGCGTTTGCATTTCCATTGAGTCATGCAGAGTACAAAAACCCATCCCAGGAAGGGGGTGCATAAGCCTTGGCGCTGCTTTCGGCACGTTATTATATGTATCTAATATTGACTGAGTACGAGGTCAATATAGGAAATAAAAGCCGAGTAAAAGACCGAGGCGAAGCCGAGGTCTTTTACGAGGTTTTTATTTCCTATACTGACCAAGTACGAAGTCAATATTAGTTTTATCACGACAAACAGTCCGTATTTCAAATTCCAGAACGATGACCTCATGAATCCCGGTTTTATGATTGCACAACCGTTGTACCATGGTCTACTCATGCAGTGACAATGCTGCACAAGGCACTGTTCAACTGCGCAACCCCTCTGCAGTCAAATATAAGCAGTCAATATAGCCCTAAGGAGTGAAATATGCAGGAATATTTGACTGCTTAGGTATGGCAAAAATCTATGCGAGTCAATACTAAGGGAGTGATAATGTGTCAATATTGACTGCTTATATTTGACTGCTGAGGGGTTGCGCAGTTGAACAGTGCCTAGTGCAGCATTGTCACTGCATGAGTAGGTGGTGGTGCAACGGTTGTGCAATCATAAAATCGGGATTCATGAGGTTATCGTTCTGGTATTTGAAATACGGACTGTTTGTCGTGATAAATCTAATATTGACTTCGTACTTGGTCAGTATAGGAAATAAAAAACCTCGTAAAAGACCTCGCCTTCGCTTCGGTCTTTTACTCGGCTTTTATTTCCTATATTGAGCTCGTACTCAGTCAATATTAGATACATATTAGGATTTCTTGTTGGCGAAAGTGTTACCACAGCTGAAGGGAAGGGCTACCATGCATGTAGATCTACCATGATGTGCCACGACACCCTGATCGGAACGTAGACCTACATCATGTGTTAGATCCACTTGCGACGCTTAGGTCTTATCTCACTACTACTGTGACAATTATTATGACAACATGCGCAAATAAAATCCAAAAACATGTTGGTGTAGTATCCCTGCCGACCAATACGGAAGCAGTACGGAACTAATACGGAGCTTTGCCTGATGTATATTTAGTGTATCTCCGTATGTAAGCGTACGGCGTCTGCTGCATAAAAGCGGCTGAGCATTTCTGTTTTGATGAAGAGAAGATTAGATTAGATTAGATTAGATAGCAATGAAAGCTAACTCGAAGAAGAAGGATTCAACCTCTAGGTGAGCACCGGAGCGAAAGTTATTTATTTTTGCCGCTTCTTCTTTCACTAATAATTATATCTCAGGTGTGTACCTGAAAGTAGAATAAAAGTAATTCTTGTTGATTTCACCGCGCCTACCACTCGGCTACCCATTACATTGGTGGCAGCGGTGTATTTTTAAATGAAACAACGTGATTGGACCCCAGACCCCCATGGCTCAACCCGCTGCAGCTCCGTGTGACGAATTAGGATGAGAATCATGTTTCTTGCCTTTTTAGGCTTGCCCTGCTTATTAGCCTGCAGCACAGTCAGGGTGCTAGCGTGGATCACCCTTCTCTCCGCACGGCACTCACTGGAGACTCCGATGGCGATTCCAAGCGACCCGCTTCGTACATGTATACTACCGGTGGTGATGGCGAAGCTGATGAGGACGACAACAGGCAGGCTGCTGCCCAAGACAAGGAGGGTATTTCCCAAGACCAGCAGCGTTTGATTTTCGCCGGCACGCAGTCGGAAGCAGGAGCCCACTCTTCACTTGGTACTTCGCCGCCGTGGTGGGATGCAGATTTTCGTCAACACTATTCCTGGCTAGACCATCACTCTTTACGTCGCGCAAAGCGATGCTATCCACAATGTGAAGACCTCGATTCAAGACGAGGAGGGAGGTTATTTATCTGACGCCGAGCTAGCCGCTCTGAGTGCCCGGCTCAACCAAGACGAAGATAAAACCTGGCTCGCCCTCCGCCATAGCTCCAGCCGCCGCCGTGGTTACTAACGCTGATTCCAGGTATGGCATTTTCTTTCCTGTCTTCCTTCAGTCTCCCTGTTCTCTTCAGTCTTCCTTTATGCGAGTGTGTGAATCCAGTTTAGTTTGGTAGGCGTCTGATCATGGTGAGCCACGGTTTACCCAGCTAACGTGGGACAATGTGTGTGACAACGCCCCTTATAGTTATAGTGTATTCAGTTCGGTTTTTGAACTGCGATGTTCCTGGCGGATTGTGCCAGCGTTGTGCAGCAAGAGTGCTGTGGATTTTCAGGTCCTATTTGGAGGACAGTTCTTTCCCCTTTTGACCCCGTGAGATCGTGTGAACCTGGTGTGCTTCTACTTTATGATTTGTTATCAGTTCATTTCTTCTGTCTACTCTAAACGTTATCATTTCCGATATAATTTGCCATCTTCCGGTTGACGCTGTGTTCGTAACTCTTCACTAATTTTTTGAAAATCACGAGGGCGTGATTATCTGTAGGAAGGGAGGGTGTAGTATCCCTGCCGACCAATACGGAAGCAGTACGGAACTAATACGGAGCTTTGCCTGATGTATATTTAGTGTATCTCCGTATGTAAGCGTACGGCGTCTGCTGCATAAAAGCGGCTGAGCATTTCTGTTTTGATGAAGAGAAGATTAGATTAGATTAGATTAGATAGCAATGAAAGCTAACTCGAAGAAGAAGGATTCAACCTCTAGGTGAGCACCGGAGCGAAAGTTATTTATTTTTGCCGCTTCTTCTTTCACTAATAATTATATCTCAGGTGTGTACCTGAAAGTAGAATAAAAGTAATTCTTGTTGATTTCACCGCGCCTACCACTCGGCTACCCATTACATTGGCACCGATACCCCACTTTTTTCCTTCACGCTTGAGCCGAGGGAAGTAAGCTGAGGGAAGTTGAGCCGAGTGTGTTCCTACAGACGTGGAACGTAACCCTATCTACATTGGAACGGTGATTTTCACACATTTTATTGCATTTGGGATGGTCACTCTATTCAGATTATAGCAATAAAAACTGCTTTATGGCAGTTTTCTAAAAAAAGTTATTGTGTTCTAGTCCATGGACCTCGTCTAAAAAGTAAGAAATTAACGAAATGTGATAGCTGAAAATTAAAATTTCACACAAAACCTCACAATAATCACAACACTTGAAATGCTGTTTTAAACTTTAACTTGTACTGCACCAACAATTGGCAACATGCATGCATAGGAAAGAGGATCACGAGGGGAAAAGGTCGTCTACATGTAGCTTTTAATTCTGTGTGTGCTGATTATTGTGAGGTTTTGTGTGAAATTTTAATTTTCAGCTATCACATTTCGTTAATTTCTTACTTTTTAGACGAGGTCCATGGACTAGAACACAATAACTTTTTTTAGAAAACTGCCATAAAGCAGTTTTTATTGCTATAATTTCTTTTGTTTTTTTCTGTCACCAATCAATGGAATGCCCTATATCAATATGTAAATGATGGCCTTCACATCATATCAATACCGTATTATACGCATTGATGTGCAAGCCTTTTCTTGCAAAAAATGGCACTAGCATAATGCATGTTCTTCTGCGGGGAAACATGTGAGTAGTGGTGGTGATACTTTTTTATACGGAGGTCATTCTGTGCATGTTGCTGTTGCAGAATTTCATGACTCTGTCATAAATTTGTCTTGCCTTTCAGATATTTCAGATTTCCCCACCCTCGATCAGATTTATTTGAGAAATGTAGCCATGCGCCAGGTGCGTGTCGCAGATGTTTTTGTTGATTCTGTGTTTATAATGGTTTATAATCATGGGTTATCGTGATAAGGTTATCCAGCATCATATTGCACTGAAATCGTAATCCTGTTGATGTCGATACAACTTTTGGAAGTAGTTCAATTACTTCAAACTGTTAGTCCACGATTTTCTAAAACAACACAGCAAAGGAGGAACAATAAACATGTATTAAAATGTAAACAAATACATTGCTGAGTCCGACACCTCGTTCCAAGAACTACACTGATCCTGAGGATAAAAGGGTCAAGGCTATTATTATTATTATTATTATTATTATGAAATGACCCAAAGGCAACGTGCCTATCGAGGGGTTCATTTGATTGAAAGAACAGTAGATGTAGATGTATGTACAAAGACAAGTATGGTTGGAGGTACTGATACTGAGAGATAAACAAGGCACTCCATGATAATAAAATCTTACACATCTTTTGGTGAGTATGAATGATATCCAGTCGAACCTCTTTAGGACGAACACCAAGGTACCGATGGTATTTTATTCTGTGAGTTTGTCTTAACCTATTTTATAACCAATGAATACAATTTTTTCTCCAATAGACATACGAATAGATTTCTTCTACAGTGAAAGATTCTAAGCCACACCGACTCATAGTTTTTGGTTTCGATAACTTTACCAGTGCCTCTCATATTCTTAGCCTATACAATCTCTCTCACATTTCTGTCCGAGTCAATTTGAAGCTTTTTATTCTTGTATTTCGCTCTGTCCATAGCGGCACATGTAGCTCCCTCCTAAAAGAAATTTTCCATACCCGCTCCTCCAGTGCACATACTACTGCCGTCACTAGGTCCCAAATCTCTTTTTCTCTGGCCTTGCCTTCCGCCCACACTAAAGCTGGTTTTTCTCGTCTTGGCTACATAGGTTCTGATCGGTGGAATATGCTGCCTTCCACTGTTCGCTCTTGTACAAATTATCGCCCATTTGTTCGTTCATGCTTAACCTTTCTAGGGGCTCCCGTAAGAAGACCATAGGTCTGTGGGAAACACCCTAGTAAAATAAATAAAATAATAATAATAATAATAACCGACGAGGAGACAACAGTCGTAAAATAGCGATGAAAAATATCAATTGTGCACTCATAATCATGTATAAACAATTAAAATGAAACAATTCCAGAACGTTTTCGTGTGACCATCATCAGTGGAACATCGTCACATAGTAAGAATCACTAAAACAACCAGTTATATAGCTAGAGTAACATGAAAAGAAGCGTGATAATGCAGCACAGCTAGCGGTCATTCTCAGATACACTGCAAAGGTTCACACTACACGCGTTATGCATAACCGCTAGCTGTGCTGCATTATCACGCTTCTTTTCATGTTACTCTAGCTATATAACTGGTTGTTTTAGTGATTCTTACTATGTGACGATGTTCCACTGATGATGGTCACACGAAAACGTTCTGGAATTGTTTCATTTTAATTGTTTATACATGATTATGAGTGCACAATTGATATTTTTCATCGCAATAATAATAATAATAATAATAATAATAATAATAATAATGAAACTCGGATGTTGAGCCATAAATAAATGTAGAAGAGAAAAGGACATATGGATACGAGTTAAGAGTAACTCTCCATCACTGTAACATGATACTTTATACAGTCAGAAATGTCATGCATGAGGAGTACTGTAGGAGTTTGGCTTTCGGCTTGTACAATTCGTTTTCGCAAAGCTTCCCTTTCTTTACTTATCTTTGATATTTATGACCCACCCAAGTTGGGTGGTGTGCTGCTTTGCTGCTTCGAATTGTAGTTAGACCGCTTTGTCAAATATCGTACTGGTCTCGTCATCGTCCAGTAACAATCGACATTCTTTGTTCCGTTGGTACTGTAGCTTTTGCTCGTTTTCGTTGCGCTTGCCTTCCCCTCTTTGGTCTTTCCATAACCTTGAACCTTCCAAGTTGGAAGGCTGTCGGTTAGCGCTACGGAGATGTGTTGAAGCTAGGTGTCAGGACGTCGAATGTTTCAGTACTCTGTCAGTTTTGTGCCTAGTTATTGCACTTTCTGACTGTATAAAGTATCATGTTACAGTGATGGAGAGTTACTCTTAACTCGTATCCATATGTCCTTTTCTCTTCTACAATAATAATAATAATAATAATAATTGACTCGTCTCGTATGAAACAAATGAGTCACTAGAGAGGTTCTGCAGAACGAAAATGCGTACAAACTTTCGCTCTACATCATGAAGTGCAAAACTTCGCACGAACTTTCGCAACTTTGGACGCGAAACTTACATGGAACGCCAAATGAACTGTCGTAGGAAATTTCGTGAGATCGGGTCATCATGGCGTACGTGCACTTGGCCCGCGCAAACTACGAAAATGTGCAGAACGCAAAGTTCGTGCAAAAATTCGTACACACTTTCGCAAGGACTGTCGCGAAACTTCGTTCGAATTTTCGTTTTGCAGAACCTCTCTACTGAACCTTTCTTTAGCAACATGACGGCAACTGAAACAGCAACAGAGAAAGTACGATACATGTACTGCACATTCTTGCAGGTACTACAAACAGATTGCAGATCGTAATTCTTCCTTTGGCGGCACGAAACTTTATTTGGAGCAGTGCAATCTCGGCGGTACTCACAAATCAAACAGCCCAAACTCGAGTAAACAAATCCAATCATACAAGTAGGAGATTTTCACGAGACGAGACTGCACCCATTGGCTTGTTTCGTATGGAGCAAATAAGTTACTGAACCTCTCCACCATGAAGATTTTCCCCGATATGCGAATTTATTTGGCAAACTCGGTCAATGAGTCCTTGAACCTTTCCCTCTAGATTGCGAACTGCCAACGATAGTATGCCACTGACCAGTGCCTTACTTGTAACGTACTAATGTGCAATGAATATGAGTCTTTCGACAACACATCTAACATAAGCCTTACCGTCAAGAAGGTGAACTCGCGTTCTTCGCACACTGTAGACAAGGCCAAAGAGATAAAAATGGATCTAAATCCGAATAAAATCAGCACACGTTTCCGTAAATGAAAGGGTGAGCATAAGCAAATGAATCGAAGGAAACTGGTCAACTCAGAGATCACCTGTCATTGAGTATTCCGTAAAAGGAGGCCTCGGCAGCGGAAAAGCTAAATTTAGAAAGGAGATCCTGTCAGCTTTTCCATTATTTATTGCATTCCGCCCAAAATCAGCACACGTTTCGTAAATGAAAGAGTCAACACAAGCAAATGAATCAAAGGGAACTGGTCAACTCACCTGTCATTGAGTAATATTCCGCGAAAGGAGGTCTCAGCAGCGCCGAAACGAAATAAGCCAGGCCAGGAGACGAAATATCCGAAACAGGTCAAGAAGCAGTTCCAAAGAAGGAAGTTCCTCGTGCATGCACATCCGAAAAGGCAACAACAAAAAGTCTGCAATGCACAGGCATGCGGCCAGCCGGCCGCGCGATGGTACTCGTAGGAGCCATGGAGTAGCTCCCTGGTCCAGGACCAAGTACCGAGCATCTTACGTAGAAACTTACGTAGCTACGTAGACAACGTGTCTGAATAGCGGTGTCGTTAGGTAGCGCCATGTGAACACAATAATAGAAAAGCTGACAGGATCGCTTTTCTAAATAAAAATAATTATTGATCCGATAGCAAGTGATGTCATACTTATCATATTCCTAGATGTTGATCGTTTTTTACCTTTTTCACATTGCATGTTTCGAGGACCTTCTTATCCACACGTTGCAAGCCAAATTATTGATGATATAACAGCTAACATCATCGGACAGCACCCTTGCCAAGCATAGTTATCTTTGACGAATTAAATTCAAGCAGGTTATATGGAATATTAACCTGAATGCGGCTCTTACTTTATCGCGTGAAATGAATGACACGGGACACTATCATACACAACCAAGTTAACGAAAACTGATATTAGAAGCGACGAGACGAAACATTCCCTAATACGATGTAAATGGTAATGCCATAGGATTTGGCCATTATCTAAGACAAGATTATAGCAAATAAGAGATCAGCGAATGACGTACTTTTTCCAATAACACTGAATTAACCTGGGCATGATTTTAGGCGTTTTGGCTCTTCTACTCCTCCACATGCGTGTATTTATTCAAAAATGGATTCCGAGTTTAAATCATAAATGGCTATACATGTATGGGAGTGGGACATACGAACCATCAAAAATGGCTTTTTACCGGCGTCAATCCGTGCATTATGTTCCTTAATAAGCTCGTACTCAAAGGAAATATGCTTAATATTATAGGTATCGAGCGATTCACGAGAGCGTGATATTTGTATTGTCTCACCAGAACTGCAGCCACTAATAGGAGTATGCAGTGAACGTTTTTTTGCAGAGGATGCAAGAAGCAGTTTCATTTTCTGCTGACTCTGTCTACAGTCCCATGTAAACCCTATTTCTAGTTTACTGGATGCGCAGTGCACAATTTCTATTGCAACTGCAAAATAGCGTTCTTGAATAGGTTCTAGGGCTCGGATGCTAGCATTTCCATCCTTAATATGGCGCAGAGTGGTGTAAGGGTATACGCAGGGCTCAGTATAAAAATTGAGGGATACGTCAATGAACTTTCTCGGAAAGCTGTCGGATTCATCAAATATGATGGCTCTGCTTTTGTAGACCATAAGAGTAGCCATAACCTTAAAAGAGCCCAATTTGAATATTTCATTATTATTATTATTTATTATGTCCTCTTCTGAATTAGGCACGGGAAGAGGACGATCTAAGCATATTTCCAGAAAGAAAACACCATCCTCATGACCCTGGAAGCGAGCATGTACTGCGCCTTCGCCGTAACTTGATATCGGCACTGCCACAGGGACCTCCGCACCATCAGATTGGATTTCAGTTGCCCAGATTTGAATACTGCAGACTTTTAATGCGGGTTCAGATATGGGATTGCCTTGCCAATTATTTACCAAAGCTGTAATTTTCGTCTCTTCGCCTACATAACCGATGTACCTATCGTTTTTTTCTGAAAATTCACACCTAGACAAATCGATATCAGTGTTGTCCACGACCTTTCCTGTACTGCCGATAACGCCTTCCAAACCTGAAAGGTTCTGGCGTTCAAACGCTAATCTCCGCATACGAGAATAATTCTTGGGGAGGTGCTGCAAAGAACTTGTAACAACTTCAGTCAAATGTGGATGCATTTTGAGGAGATCTTCATTCCTCAGAGAAGATTTGCTAATGGTTTGGAAGACAACTCCGTTGCGTTCGGCCAATGTTTGAGCATGTAGCTCACTTAACTTCTTACTTTGCAATTCCACCTCATTCATCAGTTCTTCTTTTCGTTGCTTGATCCGGTGAAGTTGCTCGTCGCAGTGTTCATGTATCAATCTCTTGATATCAGCTACTTTTCCTTGGAGGTCACAGCCAAATGCTTCAATGAGATCACCAGCGTGTTTCATGCCTGCTTCCACTTCTTCCTTGTCTTGGGGTGATATGTTTCTCAGGCGCTCCGTCAGTCTGTGACGTAAAGATACAGCTTCTGAACTGATATCGCCAATCTGATCAGTATGAGAAGCGTGTTTGCTTTGAAGCTTACACTTTTCACACAGAACCTCTCTACATTTGGCACAATAATATCGCACCGTCATCTTGCCGTGGACAGGACAATGGTGCACTCGCCCCTGTCGAGGTATCGTTTTCTGGCCACTTTGGCTGGAGCTGCTTGATTCTTGATCTTCATCACTAGCGCGCTCCACCTTCGGTTCTGCATGATCGTGTGGAACATTGTCGAACATGGAATCGTCCACCAACAGCTGTTCGTGATTGCGACCAGGAGGTGGACATGGCGTAGGACGTCGACACTTGGCACAGATTATTCTCCCGTCGTCTTGAACACTGGCTGCCAAGCACTCCATGCAGACCTTGTGAAGACAGGTTAAGAGTTTGCCTTCTTTATCGACTCCATCTCTACAGAATACACAGGGTGGCGGCATCATCCAGTCGCACAAAATAAACTGATATACAGAATAAGCTACTGTTTGTTACGTGTATACACGGGCAAAACAAACACATAGCGGATATGAACTTGACCAGGGAGTACACGTCGCTGAGAACAAGTTTACAACATGGCTTAGAGGATGTGATTTATTTTCTTTTAACGTCACTGAGAGAGGAATATGACTAAGAGGATGTGAGCTGATAGATACCACCGCCATACATAATTCCAGCGCCATGTTTGTTAACCACTTGTGACTTAACGGTATAAGGAAGATGTGCAACATATCGCCTTTGGAATAAGATGACACTTATAGGGATCGGTGGCGCATTGGTGAGAACACTGTTTAGCTAGTAGCTGATTCATTCCCTGGTTCTATTGGAACGACCACTGGGATCAAAAATCACAAGCGAGCGCAAGTAATTTTCGAAATTACTGCCCAAGTCTTTCAGTAATTTAGGTGCTCAATACTTTCAGTATGAGGGCAAAAGGCCAGGTTTGGAGAACAGAAATTTTAGGTACAGAGAAGCAGTTTCCTATTGGATTAAGTGTGTTAGTGTTTTTTTAGTGTATTGAAAATTTAGGTATGAAACAGAGGCACCAAAAGTACCGAAAATAAAAGCACACCGAAAATTTGTAAAATTACAGTACGTTGTCAACAACTCCCATGGATAGATGTCCAGCCTGTAGCATGGTTTTGCCCTCATCAATCTCTGTGAGTTTACGAGAATGTGCGCTTTCTCATACGTGCGTTCATGTTTGTATGTGTGTGCCCCTGTTTCCTCTAGAAACGTTTTGCCCCCTCTCGTCCAAGTTTGCATTCAAACTTAAAAATACCTGTGTTCACTGCCACAGGGAATATGCCGAGAAGTGTCAAGATGCGCTTCAGCAAAGCAGACTACTGGTATGTAAGGCCGCGGTCACACCGAGCTCGATTCAGCCGTTCAGCCGAAACAAGCGCTTGTTTACGTCACTATTACCATGGAAATGGCTGAAAAATGTCCAACAAGCGACTTTCAGCCGTGGCTGACTCTCAGCCGTTTTTTTCCGGCTTGTTTCAGCCACAGCTTGTACAAGCGGCTGAAAGCCGAAATTCAAAAAATAATTTGAGTGCGCTTGGAGCTCCGGAGCACACCTTGTAGTTGGCATGATGAACTGATGTTCTTTCTTGTGTCCGTGGAACCGTGCTATCCCTGTGCCTTTGGTTTTGACCGTGAGTCTGTCTACCCCAACTACACTGTATTCAGTTTGATTTGGATTTTGTCCGACGACCATGGATTTCTGCCGCTGTGCCTCTAGACTGCTGCGTAGATTGTTGGAGCTGTGGTTTGAGGCCAAGACAAGGCACCACACTCACGACCGAAATCATGAAGAAAGCCGGGTACGAAGAAGAGAGTGGATTGCAAATGAGTTCAATAACGGCAACCGGCGGGGCAGAAAGCTCGACATCAGGAAACACCACCCAAACCATCGCGTCCATGCACACCGAACAAATAAAAAGAGCACGACTTCGCATTTCAGAATCCGGGCTTCCTTTGCTTCTTCATCAAAACTGAACACTAGAACAAGTACAGTTTTAGATCGCGAACGTTCTCCTCTCCAGTTTCTTGCAAACATTGGTGTGTTTCGAGATATTCAAAATTATTTGGCGGGTAAGAAAAACAAGCCATTCAAGCTTTGCACTCAAGGTCTGGTGTGACCGCGTCACAGGGATCACGCAAGCCAGCTGAGCGCCAGCGATAACAAGCCCAAAGTGGCTTGTTTCGGTGTGACCGGGGCCTAAGGGAACACTGGATAACAGAAATCTATGCATGGTATCAACATCGGCTTTGGTTTTGCCACAAAGATACTAAGTTATCATCAGCGAATTTCTATGCCAAAAAGGAAGCTTGGTTACTCACTAGTACATTTGTAGCGTATAGCGTATCCCCGTACGTTAGCATATCTCGTATGTTACTGTATTCCCGTACGTTAGCATATCCCCGTACTGTATTCCCATACGTTAGCGTATCCCCGTACATTAGCGTACAGAGTCTGCCTTTGCATAAAAGCTGCTGCTCACGATTCTTTTATTGCCAGTCAGTTAATTTAGTAGCCAGTTAGTTAATTTAGTTGCCAGTCAGTTAATTTCGTTGCCAGTACATTTCAATTGCCAATTACAGTGTGTTCACTGAGACCCGTGTTCATTTGCCTCCGAGAGAGACTGCGGCCCGCTACACATTTAGTTGTATTTTGGAAGCTAAGCCACTATCCCTCCAACCCTTTTCCAACATGTACATGTAATGGCATTTTCGTGCCACCATCGATAGCTCTGCCGTGTAGTGACGACACCTTGCTAGTTACATGCTCCAGGTATCCGCCGCCTCCTAATATAGCCTTATGCGAAGTCTAGATTAGTTCCAAACCTCAGCGAATTAAACCTCACGCAACGACAATTGAAAGGGCGAGGGGCTG